CAGATAGCCTGCAATAAAGAGAAACATGAAATATTTGACTATAGAACCTTCAATGTGGTATGGCTGGTGGAAAAACTAGAACAAATTAACTGGCAGCATTTCCTTTCACGATGGTGTGTAGTTGCAACTTTTAGTCAACCAATGTTCCGGAAGGAGCCCCAGAACCTTCTCCAGCTCTGCCTCATTAGTTGTGATGGGGAAGTGTCACGCAAGGCGATGCTGCTGGACTTTACTTCGTGTCCAGGCAGAGTGTCAAGGAGGGTTATCGTCTGCTCATCTATGAAGATTCCATGGCTTTACAATCACAATTGCAACCTCGCTTCTTGATTGCGAGTTGGTATAAATCGAGTACCATATATGCGATCTCTTCAGTGAAGGCTTTGCCTAGCTTTGTGTTACTTACGATGGAATGTACTCTTCGCATCTTGTGCAACTTCGGAAGCAGGTTGCAACTGACAAGGTCAAGTGTTCATCAGCCAAGACCACTACTACAATCAAGCCATAAACCCGAGTAAGAAGAAACAAGTGGACAAAGGCAACTCAACTTTCAAGCCAATAATTTGCCAAAAGATTATTGCCAAGAGAAGTTATAGAACAAAGAGAGGTCAAGAGCACTGAAACCAAGAAGAGCTAGGAAGACCAAGAACAAGGTAAAGTCTACAACTTCTGAAGAGCTTGGAGCTTGAAGATTGTATGAAGCATGGAGTAGCGAGCATCATTAGCAAAGCTCACAAACCCTTGCATTATGCATCCATCAGTCTCATGCTTCAAAGTGCGAGACTATCAACACAGAATATAGATAAATAAATAGATAGAGTAAATGTTCTCCTGCATGGATCGCGTTCAGTGATTTCAGGAAAAATGGGGTTGATATTTTGGCCGATAAAGGGCAGTGAAAAGAAAGCATAGAAAATAGCTGTCATCTATATGCAAGTTTAGGATTGCTCGCTCGGCTTGTGAGCAGCAGCAATGAGCCCAAGGTGTGTTTGTTCAAATTGCGTTTCTCAAGGCAGCAACAGGATTTGAATTTTTCTCTCACGCAAAAGCTCAAAATTCAATTAGACAATTAGGGGTACGGTAGGTTCTGATGGGACGGAATTCATATCTGAGCGTTGTGAGCACTGTGGTGCGGAGGCTGGACCTTCGATTGTGTCGCGTGTGGGATCAAGCCTGCAACGCCGCAGAGGTCGACATGTCCACCGCCAGAGTCGAGGTGATCGATGACTATTATGATCCCTTTCCCCTCTATAGTATGGAGGGCCCCTATTTTGGTATCTTTTACGCCAACCTCCGCTCTGGCGTGCATAGCTTGGGTGAGAAAACGCACCGAGATCTCGTGAAAGCAGTACGCGCTAAAGTCAAGCGGGACGTCAAGCGGCAGATGCAAATGCCCAAGTTTAGCAATTCGCTGGTGAAGGTCATCCAGAGATCACCGTGGAAACGAGGGTTGACACCGTCCAATGTGTTTTCCAAATCCACTCCAGGTGCTAGAGAGTTTAAGGAGCAAATGGCATGCTGGGCGGAGCAGGATTTGTTCAGATGTGCAAGCGACATTGATAGGACGAGGGAAGTGATGCTGCGGTTTGAAGCCCGGATGGTTGAGGAGCTCGAGGAGCTCGAGGAGCTCGAGGACGACTTGCTGTGCAGCAAGCTGTTGCAGGAGAGGCCAGGGGAAATGGATTTCTCGGCGAACAGCTGCTACGAGCCCGACGTGTATAACCAGCTGGTGGAGTGGATCGAGGGTGCAAAGGAGTACCATCGCGAGATTGAGATTAAAGATTACACGGGTTGGGAACCGGATTGCTGCGTGAATCTCTTCAGGTTTGAGGTGGCGCACATTGAGCAGCTGCTGCGGGATTACAAGGCGCAGGAGGGAGCAGCGCAGGAGATCGTGGCGAGGAGGTGTGAGCCCATTGATTTTGAGGAAGAGAGAGGGATGTTTAGACACATGAGGAGTAGCCGCCGCCAGTTATATGCTGATGGACTTGCTCTACCGGATCAGTTTCGGTGGAGAGAGATGATCGATGATTCATGATACAGAGATTTATAAGATGTTGAGCGCATTTTTGGTCAAGAGCAGTATCGAACACACGCCATGCAACAAGCTAGAAGCTATAAAATTTCTCGCCTTGAGGTAAAGAAGTACACAAGTAGTGTGTTCCTCCATGCTTGGGAGGGACTGTCATTTGCAATAATCTTCTAGGTGCTTGTGGTAGCGACATTGCTAGATGAATTGAGCTTGGATTGTGACGTCAAGAATTAATATAGTGCATGATCACTACGTCTAGGCCGTCTGAAGCAATGACCAATCTCCATTTGAGAAATGTGCCAATACCTGCTGCAGATCATGGCTCAATGGAGCTGGAGCCCGAAGCTCTACAAAGATGCCCTGTCAAGTGGGATCTGGCAAATGCGCAGAGTCTCTTCCAGGCGATCATCCAAGATCCGAATCACAGGTAACTTCGAACACTCGTGAGTTCTTATGGTGAATTTGTTTGTTTCTTTGGCGGAAAGTTGCAATGTGAGTGAAAAAAAAAGCTTGCCTTTGATCATGTTTTCTGACATAGCCAGAGGAAGGCTTTGGGGATCGAAGGATGTCGTCCTTTGGAATCCACCTGCTCACTTGGAAAGCTCAATATCTCACGCAAAGCGTTTGAGCACAGCCCACGACACTGTAAGAATTTGCTCTCCATACAAGAGAATTATTGAAGAGAAGCACCGTGGCACTGGCATTGCGGAGTTTGGAATGGACGCATACCAACCTTTCGTTTCAACGAAAGAGGAAGCTCGACGTTGTCCCGGATACATCCAAGAGGAAGAAAAGGAAGCAATATTTGGTCCAGCTAACGCTAGCCTTCTTGGCTTCTCCTCACTGCAAAACAGGCAACACGGGAAGGTTTTGAAGAGCGAGTAGCTCAAAGAGACGAACGAATGCGAAATCCTTTTCACTCAAGACGAGGGCTCACGCGTCGAACTGGGACGAGGAGGCAGAACTCTCTCCACTTCTCATCTGGACCTTGCACCGGGAAGAGAACGCGAGAGAATTGGGAAGTTGTAAAGTATATATGCTCTCTATGACATGATCTTAAGTGGCAGTAGCGCCACCTCACTGATCCAGGTGTACTGCTTATTATGTATATTTGGCTATGACGCTTCGACGTTCATGCGCTCTCCGCAACAAAGACAGTGTCGCAGCCACCACAGGTTAACTGTCAGCTTGAAGAGATATGCGAAAGCTACAACGGATGGATGACTCAAGAATTCGACTGAGGAGGCGGTGGCCAATTGTCCCGAGAGATCGGCCTCTTGCGCCACTATGGAGAGGTGACGCAGTTCATGAAAGTCTACGAGAACAACAGTGGACTATATCACGTTGGACACGGTATTCTCGAGTCGGTTTCCAGCAGGCCAGCACGAGCTTCTTCTCGAGCTGGATAAGTATACCAGGCACTGGGAATGGCAGGAGTTCCAGGTCCAATCTCTTCCTGGTCGAGTTATACTTCGATGTTGCGTCTTCTTCTTCCGAGCCAGGCAAGCTCCTCGATCACTGCACCTACAGCATATGCCGGGTTCTCAAGTGGTCGGCTCTGAAGTTGACTGGGACCAGGAAAATAATGCTCTAAGAAGCAGCAGCATCGAAAGGGATGCCGGGTGGACTTTCTGGGCTCGGTTTCATTGGGTCTACCGGCGTGCTCGCTGGTAATCAAAGAAAGGATTTAGTATCAAGATGGACAAAAGGATATTGTTGGAAATGGGCAAGTGCACCGATGCTGTGCAATCGCAAAAGTTCAAAGCGCTCGGGATGCTTATATCGAGCCGCCAACTTTGCCATCTTGCGCTGGAGTTTTCCTGAAACCCGACGACGATCCTTCGCTATCACCAGGAAGTGCTTGCAGCGGAGACGACGAGGAGCTGAGAACTTGGAGCTTTCAGGGTGTGCCGCAGGAAGACGTCAAGCGGGACGTCAAGTGGCTGATGTAAATGCCCAAGTTTGGCCGAGCTCGTCCGTGGAAAGTTGGAGCGTATGGAGCAGGATTTGTTTGGATGCGCAAGAGATGAATCACATCGGGGAAGGGAAGTGATAATAGTCCTGCTGCTGCTGCTGCTGCTGCTGCTCTGATGTTTGCACGGAAGTATCCGGCTGGCTGTGGGAGAGGCCATGGGAAATGGATTTCTCAGCGAACAGCTGCTACGAGCCCGACGTGTATAACCAGCTGGTGGAGTGGACCAAGGAATACGGTCGCGGGAGTATGGAGGTTTCATGGGAACCGTGGAGCAGCGCAGAAGATCGTGGTGAGGAGGTGCGAGCCCAGGCGATTTGAGGATGTGTCACCGCGGTATATGCTGATGGACTTATGTTGATAGGCAGCGCAATTGTGATGAACTTGGCATTCTAGCTCCCTCCATGTCTAGAACTTTGGTTGCAAACTTGTCCACGTGGAGAGGTCTGAGGTCTAGTTAGGTTTTGGTTAGTTTCAAGCGTTAGATATATTATAGTAAGGAGCACCGGAACAAAACAGAGAAAAGGAAAAAGAGTGCTTCCTGCACACACCAATCGTGCTCCGTTCCACTTCTGCCACGCTCATGCCTCCTTGGAGTTCCCAGCGCTGAGGACTTCCACGCGCGGCTGCCCCTCATCTAGATATCGAGCTCGAGGAGGTGAAGATGCCACGAACACCGTACGTTCGAAGTTTCCAAATCTCAAGGACTGCCTTGAACAGAGAGCCCGATCACTCCAGCCCTGACCAACGCATTTCCAGGCAAGCGCCCCTTCAACACTGGCAAGTCCCTCCGGAGTGACCGCGCTGAAGCTCTCCTCCGGCAGTGGCTACTTCACCAGCCCAGCTTTCGTAACCAAAACATTGATATCTCTCAGGACATGTTCCGGTCAGAAACGCGAGCTTATTGATGCCATACGAGTGCCGTGCCGGGAACTGGAGAGGCACAGTGAGACCGGCCCAAAGCTAGACTTGTCCAGACGATAATAACCACGCATGCACCTGAGCTGGTGTCAGCGACTTACAACGTAGGCTAGAGGCACTGACACCATGCTCAGCCATCATAGCATCATAGAAGAGTCGGGGATGTCGGTTACTAGGTTAAAATCCTACTATAACGTTGTCGTCACATCGTAAAAAACTGTACATTCACAAGCCCCGGGTCCTAGCGTATGACAACGTCGTCTCTCAGCTTTGCAAGGACACTCTTGAGAGCGTTCACGAATGGCCGGCACTCTTTAGGCACGTCACCAAGAGCCATCAGCTGCTCAGCCTCTGATATGGCATGGATTGCCAGTGTCTTTGCGTAGTTATCTGCTGGGCTATTTCCTTGTTCCAGCAGTAAGTCCCCACAGTGAGCTCCAGCAATTCGCATTGCTCTGAGCGCCTTCAGAGCCTTCAGCTTTAGCTGCATATCCTCGCCAAACACACAGAATGAGGCCTTGATGTACAAAGCCTCGAGACGCTCACGCGCAGCTCGCGCTTCCATTGGAACGCCCTGAGTGGCTGGTTCCATTGGAACACCCTGAGTGACTGCGACGCCCTGAGTGACTGGTTCCTTCGCAGCTGGCGGAGCTTCCACTGGAACGCCCTCAGTGGCTGGTTCCTTCGCAGCTCACGTAGCTTCCACTGGAACGCCTGAAACACCTCGAGTGACTGGAACGCCCCGAGTCTTCGACAGATGAAGGCCGTGATAATAGTCTTCGAGGCGCTTGACTTCTTTCTTGCCCTGGCAGCATGCTAGATGGATGAGGCTTTCTTCAGTCAGTGAAGATCCTTCTATCATGGTCCGAATTAGCTTGAAAAGCTGGGCATCGCCATAAGTCAAGAGGGAAGTGAACACAAGAAGCATAGAAACTGTCTTGTATTTGCCCAATGCCGAAAAAAGAATCTTCCTTCCATTTCCCTCATGGCAAAACACTTGAAGAAGTTCCCATGCTGCCCACCTCTTGCCTTTCTGGTACAGAGAAACAGCATCAAAGATGGATGCTGGAGAAGGAGGAGGCGGAGCAAGCTGATACATCACAGCCGGGATCTTGTCTTCAATCTCTAGCACTTTCCCGTAATGCCCCTTGTGGGCATATGCGTCAGCAAGGAGCTTCCAGCTCAGGAAGTTCCTAGCTGGACACTGCAGAAATGCCTCTCGAGCGCACTCGACTCGGCCAAGCATGCCGTAGTCTCTGATGACGCAGTTCCACACCCACGTCTTCTCGTCTTCCATTCGCTTCTTTGAAATCTCTTTGCCAGCAGTTGCCGCCGTGGGCAAGTGGCAAGTGCGCTCGGGAAGAAAAGAGCCTTGGCGGAGACTCTCGGCACTGCTGCTTCCGGATCATGCGGGAAACACCTGCGATGCGATACATTTCTTTCCCCTTCAATTCCTTTCCCCTGCTCCCTCCTGCGCCTTGTAATCCCGCAGCAGCTGCTCAATGTGCGCCACCTCAAACCTGAAGAGATTCACGCAGCAACCCGTGTAACCTTTAATCTCAATCTCGCGATGGTACTCCTTTGCACCCTCGATCCACTCCACCAGCTGGTTATACACGTCGGGCTCGTAGCAGCTGTTCGCCGAGAAATCCATTTCCCCTGGCCTCTCCTGCAACAGCTTGCTGCACATGCGTTCCTGCATTCGCTCCTTAAACTCTCTAGCACCTGGAGTGGATTTGGAAAACACATTGGACGGTGTCAACCCTGGTTTCCACGGTGATCTCCGGATGAGCTTCGCCAGCGAATTGCTAAACTTGGGCATTTGCATCTGCCGCTTGACGTCCCGCTTGACTTTAGCGAGTACTGCTTTCACGAGATCTCGGTGCGTTTTCTCATCCAAGCTATCCACGCCAGAGCGGAGGTCGGCGTAAGTGATAGGCCCTCTATAATACTATAGAGGGGAAAGGGATCATAATAGTCATCGATCACCTCGACTCTGGCGATGGACATGTCGACCTCTGCGGCGTTGCAGGCTTGATCCCACACGCGACACAATCGAAGGTCTAGCCTCCGCACCACAGTGCTCACAACGCTCAGATAAGCATTCCGTCCCATCATACAAACCTTCATTCCTTCACATTCTTTGGTATGGAATAAAAAATGCCAGGGTTGCTGCCTTGAGAAACGCAATTTGAACAAACACACCTTGGGATCATTGCTGCTGCTCGCAAGCCGAGCGAGCAATCCTAAACTTGCATATAGATGACAGCTATTTTCTATGCTTTCTTTTCACTGCCCTTTATCGGCCAAAACATCAAACCCATTTTTCCTGAAATCACTGAACGCGATCCACGCAGGAGAACATTTACTCTATCTATTTATTTATCTATATGCTGTGTTGATAGTCTCGCACTTGAAGCATGAGACTGATGGATGCATAATGCAAGGGTTTGTGAGCTTTGCTAATGATCCTCGCTACTACATGCTTCATACAATCTTCAAGCTCCAAGCTCTTCAGAAGTTGTAGACTTTACCTTGTTCTTGGTCTTCCTATGGTTTCAGTGCTCTTGGCCTCTCTTTGTTCTATAACTTCTCTTGGCAATAATCTTGGCTTGATCTTGGCAAATTATTGGCTTGAAAGTTGAGTTGCCTTTGTCCACTTGTTTCCTCTTGCTCTCCTTGCTTGGAGTCTTGGTGAGCTGGTTTATGGCTTGATTGTAGTTGGCTGATGAACACTTGATCTTGTCACTTGCAACCTGCTTCCAAAGTTGCACAAGATGCAAAGAGTACAATCGCGTAAGTAACACAAAGCTAGGCAAAGCGTTCAGTGAAGAGATCGCATACAAACGCCGTCCATATGGTACTCGATTATACCGCAATCAAGAAGTAAGCCAGGTTGCTATCATGATCGTAAAGCCATGGAATCTTCATAGATGAGCGGATGATAACCCTCCTTGACACTCTGCCAGGACACGAAGTAAAGTCCAGCAGCATCCCCTTGCGTGACACTTCCCCATCACAACTAATAAGGCAGAGCTGGAGAAGGTTCTGGGGCTCCTTCCGGAACATTGTTTGACTAAACGTTGCAACTACACACCATCGTGAAAGGAAATGCTGCCAGTTAATTTGTTCTAGTTTTTCCACCAGCCACACCACATTGAAGTTTCTATAGTCAAATATTTCATGTTTCTCTTTATTGCAGGTTATCTGGAGTTATTCACTGTGTACAATAATCGCAACATAATGGATTTCCAACGCTTCCTCACCAGCCACTTCAGAAATGTATCTAACTTGTCTACAAAGACGAACGGTCTGCGCGATGTCTTTTAAAGGGTAAGGTACGTTTGGAGGATGCCCAGCTGAAATGGTTTCATACCCTCGCTCACTTGTTTTACAGATCCAAGGATGCCAGAAGCAGTACAAAACGCGGGTTGCTGGTTGAAAGAAGGCAGCTGATGATCCTCAGATTCACGAGCTGCTTGACATCCAAGCAAATCTCTTTACATATATTCCTTCGATAATATTCCATGATCTTCTAAATAAATACCCTGCCCTATTATATTGGCAGCGATGGAAACTCTAGCATTGGCGTTCTCCTGGTTGCGACGCACTCCAGCACAGGCAAGCACACAGGCAACAGGATTGGATGAGGTGTGTACAGCTTGCTCGTTTCTGTCATTTTTTCTTGTTCCTTGACATTTTTCGCTTGTGGGCAGACTCCTGCTGCAACAGCGGACAAGAAAGCAGAGGATTTCCTATCGCAGCTTGAGGCAGTGATCGCCAGCAGTGACCCAGCATCAAGTGTTCCCGAGTATGATGCACCTGTACTCGAAGAGGATGACGAGCATTGTTAGAGCCACGTGGCGTACAGCCACCTGGCTTCCTTCACTTTACCATCCTGTGTGAGATCCATCCCAGGGGATTGTTCTAGGAGTGTTGTCATTCTCTATAGAGCACTAGGCCATGAAGCCTGGCTTCTCTCATCATGGTATCAGAGCAATAGGTTAGATTTTTTTTGGCATGAGCAGTGCCATGGATGCTAAGACAGGATGGCATCGTCTTCTTCCTCCAGAGACATGGAGCAGTTCGATGGGACGAATTTCCTTGCCTGGAAAGAATGTGCACAATTCTGGTTTATGAGGTGGGGACTCTGGCATGTGGTATCTAGATCGAGAAAATGCTCATCCAACGATGATGATGACAGAGATCCATACAACAAGTGGAAAGATCTGGATGCTAGGGCAAATGGAGCATTAGGAGGAGGACTTGGCCCTCTTTACAGTGTCCATATAAATGTGGAGAAGAGTTCTGCTAAGAATTGGAAGTCAATTTGTGAAATTATGGGAGTGGACCTACAAGAAGATGTGGACATGATTCTTCGTCGCAGTGAGCTATACAGCCTGGACCAACAGCCACACAAGCACATGCAAAACTACATCACCAGGCTTCAGCGCAAAGTGGTGGAGATTCAATAAAAACCTAGAGGCCACGCACTCATTTGACTGCTGGACCCAGAAGCTGCTGTGACAAATCAAGAGTTTAATGCAGTTCTGTTCAAGGGGCTTGCAACTCGTGCTATGAAGTCTCATCTTTGTTATAGACATTACACAGCGGCAGATTTTTGCTGAGCTCGTCCAGCACGAGGAAACCGTTATAGGTGAAGGCAATGCTGCTGAGCAGGACGGGATTGCCATGGTGACTCGTGGTAATCAGCAAGCACAAGCAGGGCGCTCCTCTGTCTTTAATCGACTTGGAAATAAGCGCTCCAACAGCACCGAGGAAAAGCCAGCCACCAAGCGAGAATTCAATTTGAACTGTGGGACGTGAGCGTGGGCACCTGAGCAGGGATTGTCCAGTGAAGAAGCAACGTCGTGAGACAAAATTGAAAGCTGAGCGTGGATCTTCCTCTGGTGCGGCACCACATTTTAAAAGTCGACGCCGAGATGATGGTGACGATGAAGACTCTTCCGCTGCGGCCAATGGCTTGTCATGGATGACTCGAGGAGTAGAGGTGGATACCAAAAGCCGTGTTTGGCTGGATTTGGCAGCAACTCAACTTTTGACCGTGAGCTATTTTTGGAGATGAGGACATGCACTTGCAACTCACAGATAACAGCTTGTTAGCGGTTGAAGGTGTGGGCACGATTGAAGTGCGACTACCCACAGGCTTGGTGGTTCCAGTCAAGCATGTGTGGTACATCCCCAAGGCTCAACATTCCTTGGTGTCCCTAGGACAAATGATGGAGCAATTGGAATTTCGTGGTGATCGTGTCAAGATCACACATCCAGAGGTTGGACATGTGGCTTCAGCAAGCAAGATAGGACGACTGTTCCGGATGGATTGCGAGGTTTGTGTTAGCTACGATGACAGTGGCTACTGCGAGTTCATCTTCAGGGGGAGCTGCAGATATCCAAACTTGGCATCGTCGATTAGGCCACGTGAATCACAAGACGATCCAGCAGTTGCAGCGAGACCACGTGGTTGATGGCTTGGCCATCACGTCTTTTTCAATGCCATTATGCGAGCCATGCATCATGGGAAAGCAGCATCGTCGGGCGTTCAACTCTGGCGGGAGTGTTCGGGCGACAAGTCCTCTTCAGCTGGTTCACTTAGACTTATGTGGCCCTTTTCAAGTGATGACACAGCGCAAGAAGAGGTACTTTATTTCGTTTATTGATGATGCTGGCTGTTAAGTTCTTAGCTACTAAGGACGAAGCTTTGCTAGCATTCAAGGCTTATAAGCATGAAGTGGAGAACCAGCTTGATTTACGCATCAAAGTGCTCCGCTCTGATGGAGGAGGTGAGTTCCGTCCATTTTTCTGATTACTGCGAGAAAGCAGGAAATTCACAGTTCCATACACTCCTGAGCTTAACGGGGTAGCTGAGCGGTTTAACAGGACAGTGGTGGAGCTGGCTAGGACGATGATTGCCGATGCTGGTCTTCCTTCTAGGTTTTGGGATCATGCTATAGCCACAGCTGTCTTCGTGCGTAATAGGGTGTTGACCACAGGTGTTCAAGGCAAGACACCTTATGAGGCGTGGACTAGACAACGTCCACGCATGGATATCTTACGGCAGTTTGGCTGTCTAGCTTTTTTTCATGTTCCTAATGAGCTACGTAGGAAATTGGATGTTAAATCCAAGAAGTGTGTATTTCTGGGCTATAGTGATGAGCAGCGAGGATACCGACTCCTTCATCTAGACTCGGGAAAAGAGTTTGTGAGTCGAGATGTCATCTTTGATGAATCTCGTGTGTATTTTCAACGTCACAAGGATCCAGGAGTTCCTTCTACAGGTTTTCTTCGTGGAGAA